TTGCAGAGATTTTCCACACTCAGTGAGCAGTTTCAAGTACCCAGGTCCTCACACACACACAGACACACACAGAGACACACTACACACACACCCCCAACAATACTACACACACACAGACAGACAGACACACTACACACTACACACACACCAACAACACTACATACACACACACAGACACACTACACACACCCCCTCAACAACACTACAAACACACAGACACACACCAACACTACACACACACCACACACACCCACAGAGACACACTACACACACACCACACACCCACAGAGACACACTACACACACAGAGAGAACACACACCAACAACACTACACACACACACCAACACTACACACACACAACACAGAGAAACAACACCGCACACACACAGAGACATCACTGCACACATACCACACACACACACACACACACACACACACACACCACTGCACACACATCAACAACACTACACACACTCCAACAACACTACACACACACCAACAACACTACACACACACAGAACACACACACCAACACTACACACACACAACACAGAGAAACACCACTGCAGACACACAGAGACACATCACTGCACACATACCACACACACACCACTGCACACACCAACAACACTACACACACACAGACACACCACTGCACACACATCAACAACACTACACACACCCCAACAACATGACACACACACACAGAGACCACTGCAAACACACCACACACATACCAACAACACTACCCCCCCACACACCACTGCACACACACACATACACCAGCAACACCCCACACACTGCAATTTATTGAGGGAAAGCGATGTCGTGCGCTTACTGCTGCTACTTTATTTTGCATCTGGCCAGAAGCAAGTCTCTTCCTTGTTGTTTGTTTGTTTGTTTGTTTTCTTACAAGGTTAAGAACTGCACTTCAGCTAACGAGAGAGCCCAGGGATTTTGTGATTTTTAAATCCATGCCTCTGCAAGTTCTGGTTTTGATGCACGTTTTCCCTTTGAGAAATACTGATGCAGAAGTGTTAGTAGACGTTTGAGCATCAAGCAGGTGTTGACATTTGTTTGTTTAGACAGAGACGCTGCAGCCTTGACTGCCTTGGCGCTGGCTTTGTACACTAGGCTGGCCCTGGACTCACAGAGATCCAGCTGCCTCTGCCTCCCATCCGCTCCCATGTCCTCCCCCCCCATCCCCGTGCAGCCCAACAAATGCCTGTTTTTTAAAATTTGTTTATTCAACTTAGAAGTAATTGTCGTGCGTCTGTTTTGTGTTACACTGTGATGATGATTACATGGTTGGTGTGAAGCAGTTCACAAGTGCCTAACGAATCAGACTCCATTTAGGAAGAAGCGTCTAATTACAGTAAAGGGCCGGCAGTGGCAGGGGTGCGAGCAGACACTTAATGCTGTTACTCAGTGTGCTTGCTCAACCTGAGATCTGGGAAGGCTTCCTGGAGGAGATGATAACCCCTGCTGAGTGATGCAGGATAGGCAGGTAACTTTTAGCAGTATAAAAGAAGAACGACCTTTCTTTTACTCTTTCTCTTGGAGTGTTTTGATATTTTTGTCTCCGTGTCCATAAATTATAACTGCTGTGTTGTCTTAGCTAACTCATTGGGAACAAAACACCTAAAGGAATAAAGCCTATTGGCTCAAAACAAAAGGGATTGTCGCTGTCACACTTACAGGCCAGCAGGCTCTCCTCCCAGGGCTCATCGGTGCATCTTTGCTCAGTTAGGGGTTGGCACAGACAGTTCTGGTCATCTTGGTTCGACTTTCTAGAGGGTTTGCTGGCGATTCGCTTGCTTCAGAATTTGTCAGACGATTTTGGCCTGAGTCCTTTATGTGGTTGGTCATCCTTCGGCAGGCCAGCACAGGCCTTTTGCAGGAGGTAGGTCACATGTGGTTTCAACGAGTCTCCACTTGTTCTCTTGGCCAAAGCAAATTAAAATAAATGATCAAATCAAGAGTCGAGGTTGGACGGCCCTAGCAGAGGGTATAGCCCCAGAGTGATAATTTTCCTTTATTCGTTCATCTATTGGTGAACATTGGTTCTGATTCCTAGCTGTTAGGAAGAGAGGAGCGATGAACATGGGTGTGCAAGGATCGCTCAGTGGTAGGATATAGATTTCTCTGGGCATATGAGCAGAGGTGGTATACCTGGGTAATCCGCTAGTTCTTTGTAAGTTTTGAGGAGCCTTCATACTGATTTCTACATGGCTATAACTAGTTTAAACTTCCACCAGTAGTGAAAAAGGCCTTGTCGATATTTGTTGTCCCCTAATTTCTTCTGCTTAGGCATTCTGACTGGGATGGCATTGAATCTCATAGTAGTTTTAATTTGCTTTTTCCTGATTGCTAAGGATGTGAAACACTTAAAAAAAAAAAACAAAAAACACTTGTACATGTGATGTGTGCCCATGTGTTTTAATTTTTGTGAGTTTTTTGGGTATGGTTAGTTATTAACCCCTTGTCTGAAGTACAGCTGGTAAAGATTTTGTCTCATTCGGTAGCCTGTCCTTTCACTATGTCGATAGCTTCTTTGCTTTGCAGAAAATTTTTTGGGGGGGGCAGGGGAGAGAGGGCTTCTGAGACAGGGTTTCTCTGTAGCTTTGGAGCCTATCCTGGCACTCGCTCTGGAGACCATGCTGGCCTCGAACCCACAGAGATCTGCCTGCCTCTGCCTCCTGAGTGCTGGGATTAAAGGTGTGGGCCACCAACACCAGGCTTTGCAGAAACATTTTAATTTTCT